CCCTGTGGTACTCTTGTTGTATGTCAGATTGGCATGGGACGGGCATATATTGTTCTGCCCTGTGGTACTCTTGTTGTATATCAGATTGGCATGGGACGGGCATATATTGTTCTGCCCTGTGATACTCTTGTTGTAGGTCAGATTGGCGTGGGACGGGCATATATTGTTCTGCCCTGTGGTACTCTTGTTGTATGTCCGATTTGCGTGGGACGGGCATATATTGTTCTGCCCTGTGGTACTCTTGTTGTATGTCAGATTTGCGTGGGAAGGGCATATATTGTTCTGCCCTGTGGTACTCCTGTTGTATGTCGGATTGGCGTGGGACTGGCATATATTGTTTTGTCCTGTGGTACTCTTGTTGTATGTCAGATTGGCATGGGACGGGCATATATTGTTATGCCCAGTGGTACTCTTGTTGTATGTCAGATTGGCGTGGGACTGGCATATATTGTTCTACCCTGTGGTACTCTTGTTGTATGTCAGATTGGCATTGGACAGGCAAATATTGTTCTGCCCTGTGGTACTCTTGTTGTATATCAGATTGGCATGGGACGGGCATATATTGTTCTGCCCAGTGGTACTCTTGTTGTATGTCAGATTGGCGTGGGACGGGCATATATTGTTCCGCCCTGTGGTACTCTTGTTGTAGGTCAGATTGGCGTGGGACTGGCATATATTGTTCTGCCCTGTGGTACTCTTGTTGTATGTCAGATTGGCGTGGGACGGGCATATATTGTTCTGCCCTGTGGTACTCTTGTTGTATGTCAGATTGGCGTGGGACGGGCATATATTGTTCCGCCCTGTGGTACTCTTGTTGTATGTCAGATTGGCATGGGACAGGCATATATTGTTCTGCCCTGTGGTACTCTTGTATGTCAGATTGGCATGGGACAGGCATATATTGTTCTGCCCTGTGGTACTCTTGTTGTATGTCAGATTGGCATGGGACGGGCGTTTATTGTTCCACCCTGTGGTACTCTTGTTGTATGTCAGATTGGCATGGGACAGGCATATATTGTTCTGCCCTGTGGTACTCTTGTTGCCATGGAGCTAGCACCTCTGATCCATAGTTAGCAATGCTTTCTATGATTATGTATTATGTTTAGATATTGGATGGGAGTGATATTATAGATATTGGATGGGAGTGATATTATAGATATTGGATGGGAGTGATATTACTGTTCCGCTTGTTTCGGGTCACCTACACCTTTTACTGGTACATAATGAGGCTTTTTACTTTTCAGTGAAACTCTGAGGAAAGTCTATGGCAGTGAGGGAAACCTACCAAAGATGACGGCCGAGGCAACATCGGGGCGGCCAGTTAGACTTGTGGTATGTCTTAGTTACAACTTAGAGTAGGTGCTTGCTATGATTTAACAAGAATTTCATCATGTTTCCAAAAAAATTATCATGTTTAAAATTAACACAAAGCAGTAAATGTTGATTTGAGCGAGGGAATTAACTTTGGGTAAAATTCTAGTTCATTTTAACTCATTCACCCCTGAAATTTCATAATGAACTATTCCAACCTTTTAATTGGAAGGGTTCAAATGTGTCTTCAAGGGTGAATGAGTTAAACATTGAACTGTGTCAATATTTAATTCACAGTCTATAAGAATGACACGGCATTGCAAGAAAACATCATAATGTACCCAACATATTTACATTATTCAGAGTATTTTAATATCATTGTAATTAAAATCTGCTTAATAGAATTCAGCACACAATTCATGTTCAATGAATAGAACAGATGTCTTCTGTGGAGAACCTTACAATTATGACATCATGATAATTGATTGATTGATTGGTTTTATGTCCGCTTCACTACCGAGTAGTTGGGTTATCCAGCAGACAAATACAGCATAATAATATGATCAGGTTTATATATATAGGGGCAGTGCCATAGATATGTATATATATATTACAGAATGAACTTCAGATATTTCTGTAATGAAATTAACTGAAACAACAATATAGTTTACATAAAGTTTGTCATCTTCACTAGCCAAGGGTTACAATCCTGTAGGATCTACCTACAGTTGTCGGATCACACAACGTTACACGATGTGTGAACGTTAAAAACCTGGATGATTATTGCTTGCACACATTTGTGCGGACGATGGATGAACGTTTTGCGATAACAATCGTGGTTGATGTAAATTTAGAAATGGCTTAACAATATTTACAGTTTTGTGTTAACAAATATATACTTCATTTTTAAATGTATTTCCATATTCTAGCTACATATATTAGCTGATCTTTCTATGCATATTTTCTTAAATATAGAAATGGTGTTTTCGGTATATTTTCTAAACAACCCAAATCGACACATGTAAAATAACACATATTGACACATTTCCCTATACAGGTAAACATTTCCACTTTGTACCTGTACCTGCACTGTAGTTTTCCCCACCCGGTGCACTTACGTAACTCGCCAAGGCGTGAAAATCCAGGTGAAGGGGAGCTCTAAACCAAAACGAATGCAAATAACAAATACTTAACGTCCAGTTTTGTTTTCATTACGGTCATACGGTATCATATATGAGCTCTTTTTGTCAGGCACAAGGCCAGGTAAAACTCCAGTCAATCATCAAAATGTTATTTACCTTTTCTGTTACCTGGGAGATAAACCCATTCTTGACAGTCTAACGGTCATTGTAATGCTGTGCAACACGCATTGTAAAATTGAACATAATCCTAACTAATTTGAGTGGAGAAATGTATATATGCAGGGTTCCTTATATTTTATTCTACATGAGGGTATCTAAGGTATTGATCAGATGACTCTAAGTATCCAAGGGATTGATCAGATGTCTCTAATTATCCAAGGTATTGATCAGATGTCTCTAAGAATCCAAGGCATTGATCAGATTTCTCTAAGTATCCAAGGTATTGATCAGATGTCGCTAAGTATCCAAGGCATTGATCAGATTTCTCTAAGTATCCAAGGAATTGATCAGATGGCTCTAAATATCCAAGGAATTGATCAGATGGCTCTAATTATCCAAGGTATTGATCAGATGTCTCTAAGAATCCAAGGTATTGATCAGATGGCTCTAAGTATCCAAGGTATTGATCAGATGTCTCTAAGTATCCAAGGCATTGATCAGATGTCTCTAAGTATCCAAGGTATTGATCAGATGGCTCTAAGTATCCAAGGCATTTATCAGATGTCTCTAAGACTGAAACGAGTACAACCAAGTTAGTAAGATGTTCCGTATTGATAGGTGCAATGACATGTCCAATTTAATGTTGATTTAACACAAGAATTGTGATATTTCCTTATAACAGAGTCCTGGGCTGGACATTCAGTCCGTCGACAGTGTCAGTAACTATGGGCATACATTCCACAATCCACGCCGACTCTCCGCAGGATCAGAGGCCAGTAAGTGATGCACCTTATCTTTGATTAGACATGCTGCTGTAGATCTGTTTCTTGTAGCTCAGGACCTCATTTCCAAAGTCATTTTGTCGAAATATGACCTGGTTCATTCATTAAAATTCATTCATAACAACAATTTCTCCTAGAATATTTGATTGACATTAAAATTCAGAATAAATATAACAATCAGACTAAAAAATATGATCAATGTTCTCCAGTTGTCAGTTATTGGATGTACAATAATTTTTCTGATTTTACTGGTAGAATGTTATGTTTTTCAGGTTCCACAAGGTTGCCACCCATCAAAACAGGGTCAGCTCCCTCTGTTAGAGGCAAGGAAAAGATGTCATGGCGTAAGAAGGAAGTGAATAAAAGCATCGGTTGGGGAGGAGGCAAAAAACGCAGCCACCTAAGTTAACAGTCAGCCTTAAGTTCTCTCAAGTGTCACATATAGCATCGGAGTGACGTGTGTTTGAAGGGTGAATGTTAGAATGTTAGGATTTGTTTGAAAGTTACTTTTTATGTTTTATAACATTTGAAGCAATATGCATCAGTGTTTTAAACATTTGAAGTGATTTTGTGAGATGTAGCAGCGGATAGGACTATTAGGTATAGTTGTCTTTAATGTTGCACATTCATTAAAGTTAAGGTTGTATCCTTGTCATGTGTTTAGTTCATGTCCAAATCTAAATATGATAAATATACACAGTTTTTATATGACATTTATGTAACTTAAAAGTTCAGGGTTTGTAAAACAAGGGCCTGATTGTTGTTCTGTAAACAGTCTTTTGTTGACGTTGTTCTATCTTTGTGTTCCAACCTGTGATAAGTCTTTAAGAGAAATAATGAATATTCATATATTTGTAGCTATAAAAAATTGAATTCATTGCTCTGTTGATAAATCAGTGCTTTAGTGTTAGATTGGAAAGTGATGCTAACATAATGCATTTCTGTGTGTAAGTTATTACTGCTAAAATAATGCATTTCTGTGTGAAAGTTATTACTGCTAAAATTAAGTATTTCTGTGTGAAAGTTAGTTATTACTGCTAAATTAATGTATTTCTGTGTGAAAGTTCTTACTGCTAAAATAAAGTATTTCTGTGTGAAAGTTAGTTATTACTGCTAAAATAATGTATTTCTGTGTGAAAGTTCTTACTGCTAAAATAAAGTATTTCTGTGTGAAAGTTCTTACTGCTAAAATAATGCATTTCTGTGTGAAAGTTATTACTGCTAAAATAATGTATTTCTGTGTGAAAGTTA